TCTTCCCCTGGCTGAACATGTGCCTCTCTGAGATGACGCCTTTTGGCCAGCTGCCGCGAGATGCCAGAGCTTCGCCTCGTAAGAAAGACTGCAACTTTGCACTTTGTCCTGTAATATGTGTTGTACCGAGTTCCTTCCGTCAACGGGGCATCAACGGTAATGCACCTATCTTTCAGATAGCACTCACCGCTATCGCCTGCATAAGTGAAGGAATTGCAGCGGGGATTGCTATCGCACAGTGTCTTGCACTCGCACGAGGTATAAAATCGATTACTGTACGTCCCAACCTCATTGCCTTCATCTTGCGCAAGCGCAGCAAGCATATCGTAACCAGGGTCAAATGAAAACGTCCAGTGTACAAAAGCATCTGATCGCCAAGCCCACGTATTCGAATGACCTAAGCCACTAACAACTGACAAATATTGCTCTCTTTCCGGAAACAGAAAACGCAGATAGCCGACAAAGTTTTGCATTCGTTGCAGGCGGTTGGAGCCTTCAAGCATCGATGCGCAATCACCATTACACGCACCCACGGTGCACGATTTTGTATCATCGGAGCCGACAAGGTATCTGATATCCTTGGTTGCGAATCGCTCACGAAGACCTTGTTGCCACCCCTCGCTTTTAGCTATACCGTCGAACAGATAAGCATTTGCACCCGCAACGATCGTCCTTCTTCGGGAACCGTCTTCGAGACCTGCGAGACCCAGAGAATAATCATCGTATGTCCCGTTGCAGGTATTTTCCGGCAACGCGAAGCTGCTGCACATGTGCGCTGGTCCTGTGTCCGTATCTGGGCGGCAGCTTGCAGCAGGACGGTCTGAAGTCAAGTAGAGCACAGACGAGGCAGCCCCCACAATTGTTCGCAGAGGCACGCCGCCACTCGTTGTGCCATTCGAGCCCTCAGGCGACAGTACTGATCACCTCTGGACCATCTGGCCGCCCGCCGAAAATCCTGTCACGACAATGGCACGGACGGCTGGGTACTCCTGTTGCACCCACTTCACAACAGCATCAAAGGCAGTGTAAGAGGAAATGTTGCCAAGTTGCGTCCCGTTCTTCGAAACGCCCGGGTCGGAAAACCCACCGTCGGCCCATGGGCGGACACTACCCTGCGCTGACCATATGGGTGCTTGCACATCCTCGGACCCTCCGTTCCAGGCTGCCGCGGTGCACTCTTGGTCAGGGTACGCGGGAGCAATGGCCAATGTGGTGCAACCGTCCTGCTGGTCTGCCACGTAGAGCAAGTCTTCATAATATTGTTGAAATTCACGGGGCTTCCCGTGCATGGCGATTACAGCCAACGAAACTCGAGCGCCAGGCTTGTGGCTTGCAAGAACAGGCATAAATATGCCGCCTGCGATGGGTGCACTTTGCGCCTCGTTGGGGTATCTCTGCGGAGGGCATTCAAAGCTTGTGGACGAGGTTCGCGCATCGCTGGCGCTCGTAAGCATCAACAGCAGAGTTGCCGGCAAGAACAAGAGGAGTCGCATAGTGGAACGCGCACGCCCCAAATCCCCCTCTGAGACTCACTCATACCGATCGCCGCAGAACTTGAGCCCAAACGGCTGTGGTGTTCATCCGAAGCAACGTGTTGACTTTCTGCTCCTTACTCCTTGCCACACGGCGTTCACGAAGTCGGGGAGGAGCTAGGTCACCAAACTTCCCGCGTCACGCCCCGCGACTCTCTTCGCGTCCTCGCGGCGCCCCCAGTGGAGAAGGGCAGCCCATCTGGCCAAGACCGAGCGCGCGATGTGCAGGTATATCCGCGCCCTCGCGCCCTCGCGACGACCCCTTCGGAAAAGCAGCGGCCCCGGCACAGACCGCGACGCGCGCCGCACGACCACCTCCGCGCCCCCGCGGGGGACCTCAAGAGCGGAGCTCCGGCACCGGCATCCGCCGGACACCAGAGTGCCCGCTCCGCCCGCGGGTGGGGCGCCCTGCCGCCTCGCAGCGGAGAAGCTCTCACCGCTGCGGGCCCTGCCCTGTCCGCCTTGTGCTCCTCCTGGTACTCGCCGGCGCGAGAGGCACAGGTCGTGACGAGCACTGCAGGGCCCAGCCGTCGCCAACGACGTGGAAAGCAGAAGCGGCGTGCGCGATACGTAGCACGCATGGAGCCTCTACCACCAAGGAACCCGCACCTGTACTCCTAAACCCTAAATCGAAAAGGGAAAGGGGGGAGGAGGAGGAGGAGGAGGAGGAGGGGGAGGAGGAGGAGGAGGAGGAGGAGGAGGAGGAGGAGGACCAGTGGAAACCCAAGAGTCATCAACGATGTTAGAGTTAACCCTCCCTCCAAGCTCCCTCTTCATAGGCCCCTACAACTGTTCATTTCCATTGAGGGAACTGCCTCGTTGGAAGACAACAGTTTGAAGATCCTGAAGCGTGCCAAAACATGGTTTTCGGAATTTCAACGCCACGTATCAACCTGACTGCCGCGTCTTCACGATCCAGAAACGTGCCAGAACGCCATTTTTAGGACTTCAACACAGCGAATCAACATAACTGCTGCGCCCGCATAATCTGGAGTCCTTCCAAAACGCTATTTCAAGTACGTTGATCATGGGAATCCGTGAAACTCTTGCAAATTTCAAAAACGAATGTGCGCGGCGCTGAAGCGAGAGCCACGTTTTGCAAACCACCCGCCATCAATCCGTGAAGCTCTTGCAATTTGGTTTAAAGAATGTGCGCGGCGCTACGGCGAGAGCCAAATTTTGCAAGCCACCCGCTCTCAATCCGTGAAGCTCTTGCAAATGTTTAAATCAAACGTGCGCGGCGCTACGGCGAGAACCACATTTTGAAAACAACCCGCCCTCAATCCGGGAAGCTCTTGCAAATGTTTAAAACAAATGTGCGCGGCGCTACGGCGAGAGCCACATGTTGAAAACCACCACCCCTCAATCCGTGAAGCTCTTGCAACTGTTTCAATCAAACGTGCGCGGCGCTAAAGCGAGAGCCACGTTTTGAAAACTACCCGCCCTCAATCCGTGAAGCTCTTGCAAATGTTTAAAACGAATGCGCGCGGCGCTAAGGCGAGAGCCATATGTTGAAAACCACCCGCCATCTGTGAAACTATTGTCACTCTTTAAGCTTCAGAGTCATGAGTGGTGAGGACGTCTCAGGCGAAACGCCCGGCCCGCCCTAAACACTTGCCTCGGGGTGCGACAGGGGAAGTTATCTATAAGGAGATGGAATGGAGGAGGAGGAGAAGGAGGAGGAGAAGGAGCCTCTCCCCGCCTCTTCGCTCTACTCCACGCCTCTCGGCCTCCTCCCTCTGTCCCCCCAACCCCTCTCCCCGTCTCTGCCCCCCTCCCCCCGCTCCACACCTCCCCCTCCCTTCCCCTCCGCTTCCCCCCCCCTCGTCCCCTCCCTGTCCCCCCATAGCCGCCTCCTCGGCCGCCGATCGCGCAGTACGTTCACACGATACGCCAGCGCGCGGTTCCCCAGACACGTCACTCGTGCATCAACTGTGGAAACTCGCGCGCGTGTTTGTGTGTGTGTTTATGTGTGTGAGTGTGTGTGGGTGTGTGTCTGTGTGTGTCTGTGTCTGTGTCTGTGTCTGTGTGTGTGTGTCTGTCAGTCACCCTGCCCAGCCGCCGACGCAAAAGTGTATGTGTCTGTGTGTGTCTGTGTCTGTGCGTGTGTGTGTGTGTGTGTGTGTGTGTCTGTGTTTGTGAAGGGCCCAAGGCTCGGGAAGGGTTCCTGCCGCGTGGCTCCTGCGCGCGGTGCGCCCGCGCGGGCGCGCCGGCACCTCGGGTTGTGCAGGTGGCACTGGCCGAAGAGCCTAGCCCTCAGAAGCATGGTCGTTCCAGAGTCCTGCCACGGCCCCCACCGCCCCCGCCCTCGTCCCGAGCGCTGACCACTGCCGGCTGTCTTGTCATACCGCCCTCATCCTCCTCCTCCTCCTCCTCCTCCTCCTCTTCCTCCTCCTCCTCCTCCGCCTCCTCCTCTCCTCCTCCTCCTCCTCCTCCTCCTCCTCCTCCTCCTCCTCCTCCTCCGCCTCCTCCTCCTCCTCTTTATGGCCTCTCCCCTCGGGTGGCCTTTGCTGGCGGTGTCGCTCCTGGTGACTGTGTCACGCGCACTGGGCGCCCACACTCGTCCTCCTCCGCCGCCGCCACCTCCTCCGGCTCCTCCTCCTCCTCCTCCTCATCCTCATCCTACTCCTCCTCCTTCTCCTCCTCCTCCTCAATCTTATCCTCATCCTCATCCTCATCCTGATAGTAATCATCATCAGCATCAGCATCAGCATCAGCATCATCATCATCATCGACACCAGCACCATCATCACCATCACATTTACCATCACCATCATCATCAGCAGCATCATCACCACCATCACCATCACCATCATCATCATCAGCATCATCATCTGCATCAGCATCATAAGCATCACCATCATCATCTTCATCATCACCATCATAATGACCACCATCATCGTGATGATCAAAGTCATCATCGTCATCCTGATCATCCTCATCATCCTCATCATCTCCATCATCATAATCATCATTATCATCATCATCATCCACATCATCAACATCATCATTTTCATCCACATCATCCTCATCATCCTCATCATCGCCACCATCACCATCGCCATCACCATCACCATCACCATCATCATCATCATCAACATCAACACCAGCATCAACATCATCATCAGCATCATCACCACCATCACCATCATCAACACCATCATCATCATCATCACCATCACCATCACCATCACCATCACCATCATCACCATCATCACCATCATCATCATCATCAGCATCATCATCATCATCATCATCATCATCATCATCATCATCATCATCATCATCATCATCATCATCATCATCATCATCATCATCTCCATCATCTCCATCATCCATCATCTCCATCATCATCATCATCATCATCATCATCATCATCATCATCATCATCATCATCATCCTCATCCTCATCCTCATCCTCATCCTCATCCTCATCCTCATCCTCATCCTCATCCTCATCCTCATCATCCCGACCCCGTCTCCCCCAAGCCCGCTTGGGCGGCTTGGGCTCCGAACCAGGCTGGTCGCCAACCGTGCCCGTTCTGCGAGGGGGGCCGCATCACCCCTGCGGCAGGGTGGGGTGTCCGCCTGCTCAACTATGACAGTCTCGAGCCGGGGCCAGACCGCCCTCGCGAGCCGACCCTCGAGCAGGATGCGCGACGGGTGTTTTGTGTCACCGCAAGCGGCTCGACACGCGCGTCGGCGCCTGCGCAATCGGTCGCCAGGCCCACTCTACCACGATGCTCTGATCAGGCACGGCGCTGTCGCTTCGCAACATCGATGGACGAAGGCTTTCTAGATATGCGCGCCTTCAAGAAAGATTGATGATGGTATATCCTGTCGTAATCGTGGTCGTACAAGCACCCAACAGAATACTCCAAAACATTCACGACAAACTCAATCTGCATGATTTCTCCGTTGGATGCCAGAAGCCGTAACTTCTCACCCAGGCGACGCTGGAATGCCTCCTCTTCGGGCCACGCCTGTGTGCCTGGCGTGCCCGATCCAAAACGGCTTCGCAACACAGGAAGGATAGAGCTCTTGGCCACAGCGAGCTGGTCGCCATCGTCCTTGCTGAATGACGCGTTCATTGTGAGGAAAGGCTCTGCGACAACAGGAGGGCGCTTAACCCGTGGATGGTCAAGCTCGTAGGAATTATGGGGTTCGTCGGCGAATGACTTGCCCGAACCACCGCAGTTGCACTCTTGATCGCTGCACCTGTAGTCACCAGTGAAGAATTCGATCATGACGGCGACAGAATTCAACCTCTCCTCGATCCATTTTTCCAGCTCTGGCAACATGAAGAAACGTGCCTCCTGCAGAAGGCGCTGGAGATCCTCAGGTTCTTTCGGCAGCTGCGCGGCACCATCGCGGATATACTCTAAGATAGTGCCGAACCATTTCCCATCGCGGTCGATGAAGTAGGCGTCATCTTTCTGCAGAGAGTCCATGTTCCCACTGAACATTTTGGCCAGCATGCTGTCGCCAAACTTGCGCAGGGTGGACAGGGCGACGGTGAAACGCTCCCGCCCAACCAAGAGGTCGAGCACTGGGGGAAACTCCACCCTGGCCATGACCAGCAGCGGATCCGCCACCGTGCCGCCAGGCACTCAGTGGAATGTTGCTGCATGCAAAGAGGCGGGCTCCCAGGCGGCCTTCCCCCTTATCAAATCGACATGGACTGATGTGTCACGGACCCACGCAGGTCGCGGCGGAAGAGCCGCGCACCTATTTGGGAAAAGCGACGTCCTCAGGCTCGTCCGAAATATCGGTGTATGCGGTTCTGGGATCGCAAATGTCAGGGCCGCTCCTCGAGCCGGACCGATCCGCGCGAAACAGATAGTTACGTCGCCAGGGTCTCCTGGGGAGGAGGAGGAGGAGGAGGAGGAGGAGGAGGAGGAGGAGGAGAGGAGGAGGAAGGAGGCAGAGGGAGGAGGGAGGAGGAGGAGGAGGAGGAGGAGGACCGAGGAGGGAGGAAGAGTAGGTGGAGGAGGAGGAGGAGAGGAGAGGAGGAGGAGGAGGAGGAGGAGGAGGAGGAGGAGGGAGGAGGTGCAGTGCAAAATCCCAAGACGACGTGTTGGCCTGCGGTTCTGGGCTCTCGCCCGGCGCCCGCCCGCCGCCGCCGCCTCGTCGCGCCCGCCCCGCCGCGCTGGCCCCGCCCGTCGATGCCTCGCTGCCACCCTGTGCTGGAGGCTTCGATCCGATCCTTCTTCCTCCTCCTCTCTCTCTCTCCTCCTCCTCCTCCTCCTCCTCCTTCTCCTCCTCCTCCTCCTCCTCCTCCTCCTCCTCCTCCTCCTCCTCCTCCTCCTCCTCCTCCTCCTCCTCCTCCTCCTCCTCCCTCCTGCTGCTCCTCCTCCTCCTCCTCTGCCTCCTCCTCCTCCTCCTCCTTCTCCTCCTCCGCCTCGCTCCTCCTCCTCCTCCCTCCTCCTCCTCCTCCTCCTCCTCCTCCTCCTCCTCCTGTTCCTCCTCCTATTCCTCCTCCTGTTCCTCCTCGTCCTCATCCTGTTCCTCCTTCTCCTCCTCCTCCTCCTCCATGAAATGGGGGTGCCCACCAGGGGAGGACGATCATAGATTTCGGTGCTGGTGGCAATATTCCGGCCGCCTGGGAAGCAAAAGCACTACCGCGATCACCGAGGTCGGGATCATCTCCCCTTGGTGGAGGCACACCGCCGATTCTGGTGTTGTTGTCAATCTCTGGGCCTGCAACTGTGTGCTGGCTGGGCTTTTGCCGGGGTTTCGGCCACCGGGCGCCAGTGGCCGCTGCAAGCAGATAGCGCGGCATGGACTGCATCACGCGGACAGCACCACAGGAACTGCACCACACAGGCTGCACCGCGCAAGTGGCGCAGCATTTGACACGTGCCCTGGGCCACGCAGCTTGCACCACACGTCTTGCACGGCATGTGTGCCGCCACGTCGACGTGCGCCCTAGATCGGACCGCGTGGATTCTCCTTTCTAAAAAGAGAATAGACTCTACCCCCCCCCGGACTTATCGCTTCCCCCTGGGATAATACGATCTCGTATATATTATATATATATATATATATATATATATATATATTCCGCACACTCGTCCATCCTAAACATGAAATCATATCATCCCCGCCAGGCCGGGTTCCCCCCCCTGAGGTTCCATTTTTCAATAAAAAAAAACACACTATGCGGTGACATTTTGTGTTCTAACATAACACTTGTTCACGAATCCCTTGCAACAAAATAAGACGAAATGCACACGCGCGCGTCGTCGCGCGCGCATGCCGAAATCCTTCAAAAACCTTCGGTGCCGGAAGGAGTTCGCAATCGAGTTTCCAGAACACATACAAAAACACATGGTTTCGCAACACTGATTTGCTAATAAAGCTTCCGCGCGAGCTCTTGCGAAATCTTAAGAAAACTACAGGTTTTTCAAGATTTTCACAAAATGCTACCAAACGGGCTTCGCGCGCGCATGTCGAAATCTGTCGAACGCCCTTGCGCGTGTGACGTCGCGAGAATCCTCTGCAAAAAACGGGACGAAGTGCAGACGCGCGCGTCGTCGCGGGCGTATGCCGAAAACCTTCAAAACCCATCGGTTTCTGAAGGATTTCAAAATCGTGCGTCCAAACAACCTACAAAAAACCCAAGGTTCCGCAACACGGATTTTCAACAAAAGCGTGCGCGCGCGCTCTTGCGTCGTCGTCGTCGTCGTCGTCGTCGTCGTCGCCGTTCTCACTCCTGCCGCGTCGTCGTCGTCGTCGCCCACGTCGTCCTCTGTCTTTTCTCGTGTTCGTCGTCGTCGTCCTCTTTGGCGTCGTGGTCGTTTCCGTCGTCGTTGTCGCCGTGGTCGTCCTTCCTCCTCCTCCCACGTCGTCGTCGTCCGTCGTCGGCGTCTCGTCGTCGTCCCTCCTATTTCGTCGTCGTCGTCGTCGCCGTCGTCGTCGTCGTTGTCGTCGTCGTCTTCCCTCCTCCCTCGTCGTTGTCGTCGTCGGCGTCGCCGTCCTTCCTCCTTCGTCGTCGTTCGCGTCGTCGCCGTCCTCCCTCCTCCCTCGTCGTTGTCGTCGTTGTCGTCGTTGTCGCCGTCGTCGTCCTTCCTCCTCCCTCGTCGTCGCCTTCGTTGGCGCGTCGTCGTCGTCTTCGTCGTCGTCGGCGTCGGCGTCGTTGTCGTCGTCGAAGTCGTCGGAGACGTCGTCGGTGTCGTCCTAGTCGTTGTCGTCGGTGTCGTCGTAGTCGGTCTTAACAGGTTTTGCAAACCAAGTTGCGGGTGGGTGGGTGGGATGTTTGCGCGAGCAGTGGAGTGGACAACTTCAAGTTGAGCATTGGTGGACCGCACCCCTTATGTTGCACCACATGGATGGCACTACATAGCTTGCACCACAAGTGTTGCATGATATAGCTTGCATGGGGTAAATATGTATATATATATATATATATATAGATAGATAGAGGGAGTGCGCCACACATGTTGCACCATAGGTTGAAACCAATGGGTTGCACCATACACGAGTTGCAACACAGGCACTGCACATCGAGAGTGCTGGCGCCCACTGTTTGGGGTTGCAGACCCCCGGCTTCCAGGCCAGCCCGGGCGCTCCCAGACCACGCCGCGTGGCCTTCGACGAAGCCCTGCAAGCGCCTTTCGGACCAACACTTCTAACATCTTCCAACATGCTGGAGCCCTCTTGGCGGCCTCTTGGTCCATCATCAAAGCCGTTCAACCAAGCACGTCGTGTGGCATCTCATCGTTCCCAGCTTTTCGAGCATCCGCCACCCTGCCTCGAGGCACGAAGTGGAGTATCGCTGCATGGAAAGAGGTAGGCGTCCTAAAGGCCTTGCCCCTCATCGCAGAAATCGGCATGGGCTGAAGTGTCACAGACCCGTGAGAGTCGCGGCCAAAGAGCCGCGCGCCCAAGACTCCAGAAGCCGTAGAGGTTCAAGGGCAACACGATCGCGTCCGTAGACGAGAGTGGAAGTGCCCCCCAGGTCCTCGAGAGCTCTACGTGCCCTTTTTTCAGCCTTGGGAACGCTCTCTTAGGGGCGGGCGATCTTCTCGGCGCTCCCGCGCGCTCCCGGGCTTCCCCCGGCTTGATTTTTTTTCGAGGGGCGCGAGGGCCCCTTTGTGACGGGCCAAGAAAGCCCAAGGGGCTTCCAAGACGGTCTAAGAGATGGCCCCGAGTCGCCCCCAAATCGCTCCAAGATGCTCACGATTAGGTCGGGCATGTCCCCCTACAGGTGAATTGTGGGCGAAAAATGAAAATATCCAAAATATGCACTAACATAGTAAAACATAATAGAAAATCGTTCCCAGACGATTGCTGCACTATCTTTAAATAGTACCCCTGTAGAGGGACAGGCCCGACTTAAGCTTAAGATGGCCCGCGGACCGCCCAATAAGCCCCCAAGGCGCCCCAAGAGGCCAAGAGGGCCCTGAGAGGCCCCCCAGAGAGGGCCCCGAGATGCCAAACTCATGGATTTCCCCTGGGTTGCTGAGGGATTCGAATGTCCTCGCCCATTCGGGCGCTCGACACGCCAAGACGGCGCAAGAGGCCCCCAGGATCGCCCGGGGACGGCCCAAGAGGCCCTCATCCTGGCCGAGTCCCTGACCTCCAGCGTCGTGCGAAACTCATGACGCCTCAAATGGATTGAGTTGTGTGGTCGTCGTGAGTTGGTAGAACTTGCGTGGTCTGACGGCCCAAGATCCCGAGACGGCCCTCGAGGCCCACAAGACGTCCCAACAGGGCCCCAAGGGGGGCCCAAGAGAGGAGGGGGCCACGAGCCGACATGTCGAGCCCTTCGCCGCAAGATGGCCCCCGAGGCCGTCGGCAGGCCCCCCAAAGGCCACCCACGAAGCCCCAACCATTGATTCTCCTTATGTGTTTCAATGCTTTTCAATGAGTTTAGCGTGTTTCTCATGGTTTTCAACGATTCTGCATGGTTTTCATTGATTATCCGTACTTGTCTCGACGATCTCAGCGTTCTCGACTTTTCGGACTTCCGACGCTCCACGACGGGCTCATAGGCCTCAAAGATCACCTCAAGAGGCCCGCAAGACGGCCGAAGGGGGCACCAAGGCAGCCCAAAGGGCCTCCAAAACGGCCCCAAGACGGCCCTGAAGCGACCCAAACAAGGACGACTGCCCAGGAACGCTCCAAGACGGCCTCCGAAAAGGCTCACAAGCGGTCCCCAACAGGTCCCAGAAAGACCTCCAGGATACTCGAATCTGGTTCCCCGTGGGGGGTAACGCCACAGGGCATTTTAAGGTCGGTTTAACGTAAAATGGAGGGGGAGGAGGAGGAGGAGGAGGAGGAGGAGGAGGAGGAGGAGGAGGAGGAGGATGAGGAGGTTCAATGATTTTAGCGTTCTCGCTTTTTCGGGCCTCCGAAGGACGGGCACGTAGGCCGCCCAGAGCGCTCCACGGCGGCCCAGGAGGCGCGCAGGACAGCCCAACAGGCCCCCAAGACGGCCCCAAGACGGCTCCAGGGACTTCCAATACGGCCATGAGCCGGCCCCGAAGACTGCCTCCGAAGACCAAGGAGGCCCATAGAGGCCCCCAGAGGCCCCTGAGATGTCCCCCCAAAGCCCTGGGAGAACCCCAAGAGGCCCCAGGAGGCTCCCAAAAGGCCCTGCAGAGCCCCCCCCAAAAGGCTCCCAGGAAGCCTCCAAGAGGCCTCCTCCTCCTCCTCCTCTTCTCCTCCTCCTCCTCGTGCTCCTCCTCCTCCTCCTCCTCCTTTCTCTTCCTCTCCCCAATGCTCCCCCGCGGGGTTCCGCAGCGGCTGGGGAACACATCGTCTCATAGCTTAGCCAGACTTCTGTCAAATGCTCGGCCGCATGGGCGTTTCCAAAAAGGCAGGGGGCGGCGGTACTTCGCCGCAAGCGCCTTGGATCTGCCGCCCCCTGTGGCTTACGGCGCGCCGGGCGTTGGGTAGCCTCTGGTTTAAAGTTTCTAGTGGGCCTCCGCAACACGTGGGGGGCAAGGTTTTGTCGCCCCAGAGGGGCCTGTAAACTTCTCATAAACTTCTAAAAGCTTCTGTCTTACTGCTCCAGACGGGCCTCAAACTGGTCTCCAAGACGGCCGAGATGGCCCCAAGAGAGCCCAAGATGGCCCCACGATGGCCCCACAATGTCTTCAAGAAAGGCCGAGATGCCCTCAAAATGGCCTCAAGATCGCACAAAACTGCCCCAAAGACCTCCAATACGGCCTAAGAGGCCTCCAAAAGGACCTCCAAGAAGGCTCCAGAAGGACGCATGACGACCTCAACGTCCAAAAAAAATGCCTCCACGAGAACCCGTGAACTTGCCAGGTAGTCCGTCTTCCCGCTCCAGACCGTCCCAAGATGGTCTCCCAAATGGCCAAGATGGCCTCCAGGATGGCCAAGATGGCTCCAACAGAGCCTAAGACGGCCCGAAGATGTCTATAACAACGGCCGAGATACCCCCATGATGGCCCCAAGATCGCCCAAGAGGCCTCCAGGAGGACCTCCAGGTAGCAACGAAGAGGCCCGAATCATTGATTTCCTAGTTTGGTTTTTGACCAATTTTGGAGTTTGCTCTTTTTCGGCTTTCCGACGGCTCAAGGCGGCTCCAGAGGCCACCGGCATGGCCCCAAGAGCGCACAAGAAGCCTCCGAGATGGCCTCCGGACGGCCCAAGAAGCTCCCAAAGAGGGCCCGACACGGCCAAGGAGACCTCCACGATGCCCAAGATGGCCTCCAAGATGGCCTCCAAGATGGCCTTGAAGCACCCCAGAAGGGCTCCAAGCGGCCCAGAGAGACCCCCAAGACGGCGCCTGACGGCGTCAGACGGGCCAGAAACGCCCTCAGACGGCCGAAGAGCCTCTTAAGGATCCTCGAAAGGCCACAAGAGGCCAAAGGAAGCCCCCATGAGGCCTGCACAATCCCAGAGGCCCCAAGATCGCCCCAAGATGGCCTCCAAGGCCCCCGAGGGAGCCCAAGAGGCCCCCAAGAAGACCTCGAGAAGGGCCCCCAAGAACACGCCGCCGCCGCGCCGCTGGAAGCCGAAAGGCCCCGAGACCCCAAGAGGCCCCCAAGAGACCATCAAAGGTCCCCCATGGGACCTCCAAGAGGCTCGCAAGAGGCTTCCAACATACATCCGAGAATCATGCCACGAGACCCCAGGAGGCCTCCACAACGACTCTGTCCACGACCCAGGCACGCGGGGTTGGGCCGAAGGCAGCCAGACAATCGTCGAAGCCGTGCGGCCAAGAAGC